GTTTGTGTGTTTACGATCCATGTGTCTCAGTGTATGTCTTTGCTTATTATTACTTATATTAAAAATTGGTGTCACTCCTTTGATCAGGTTTCTGTATGAGTGACACCATCCTAATAAATTATTAACTTATTATTATATTAATATTAGTTTTTTTTTTTTTTTTTTTTTTCATTGTTATTATTGTAAACATACTTATTATTACTATTACTATAATTTGTATAATTATTTTTTTTGTCTTATGTTATTATTATATTAAATATTATATTATTAAGTCTATTATTCCACCTCTTATGTATGGTTCAGACTTTGTCACTTCACCTAAATACAAAGCTGAATTGTTAGCTAAGAACTTTTCATTAATATTATCTCTTGATTCCACTAGTTGCGTTCTACCTGATATAGGCGTCAAACAGTTTGATCCATTGCTTGACATCCATATCACTCCAGCTTCCGTATCTAAAGTGATTTCCTGCTTAGACTCTTCTACAGCTTGCAGTCCGGACAACATACCTGTTATAGTCTTGCAGAAGTGTTCTCCGGAGCTGTTGTCTATCCTTTCAAAACTATTCAACAAGTGCTTATCAGAGTCTTTTTTTCCAGCCTGCTGGAAAGCAGCATCTGTTATCCCTATTTTTATAAATTTTGGAGAGCGATCTCTGATTTGTCTAACTACTGTCCCATTATTCTTTTTCCTATCATAAGCAAGAGTTTTTAATCTTTACTTAACAAACACTTAATGTCTCATCTTGAATATAATAACTTACTTTCTGATCATCAATATAGATTTCGATCTTCTCGTTCTACGGCTGATTTGCTAACAGTAATAACCGATAGGTTTTTTTGCGCATTAGATATAGGTGGAGAGGTTAAGGCCATCGCTCTTGACATTTCTAAAGCGTTATAAAGTTTGATAAAGTTTGGCATGCTGGTCTTCTCCATAAGCTTTCTTTTTACGGTGTATCTGGAAACACCTTTAAGGTTATTGAATCCTTCCTTTCCAATCGTAGTTTAAAAGTTGTCCTTGATGGACAGCACTCTTCTTATTCTGTAACCTCAGGGGTTCCTCAAGGTTGGCCCTATACTCTTTTTAATTTACATTAACGATCTTCCAGATATTATCACATCTAAGGTGGCATTGTTCGCTGATGATATTACCATTTATACTTGTCACGATAAGAAGCCAACTTCCTCTGATTGCTTGCAGGTGGCATTTGAGCTTGAAAAGGATCTCGCTTCTGCAACAGCATGGGGCTCACAATGGCTGGTGAACTTTAATTTAGATAAAACTCAAATTTTTTCAGCCAATCGTTATCACAATAATTTAGATCTTCCTATATTTATGAACGGTAATGTATTCGATGAGTCATCTACCCTTAATCTTCTAGGGTTAACTCTTACTTCTGATCTCTCTTGGAAACCATATATCAAATCCGTTGCAAAATTAGTGTCTGCTAAAGTTGCATCTCTTTATCGAGCTTGAGACTTTCTTACTCTGGATTCTATTCTCTATCTTTATAAATCTCAAAATCCGGCTTTGTATGGAATACTGTTGCCATGTCCTAGGCAGATCTTCTAATGATGCTCTTTCTCTTTTAGACAAGGCGCAAAAACGCATTGTAAACATAGTTAGACCTGCTCTTGCAGCCAACCTTCAACCTTTGTCACATCGTCGTAATGTTGCTTCTCTTCTAAATTTACGGCTTCATGCATCTCCTCATATTTCTTTCTTGTTCATCAGTAATTATATGTTTTTTGCTGACACCATTGTTTGCTTAATGATATCTAAACAAAGTTTAAATTAAATGATTTCATAGTTTTTTATGAAAAATTAAAACAAATATATATATATATATATATATATATATATATATATATATATATATATATATATATATATATATTTAATATTAGGGTTTTACAATAAATTGTATTGGCATAAACTGCCTGTCAACCTAGTTATGTAATACTTGATAATTACAGAGTTTGTGTAACTAATAGAAAATAAAATGTGGATTAGTCATAGAGAAGCCATTCACTGATTATGACATTGTATCAGATAACACTGATACAATGTCATAAGAGAGTTCCATTTATTTATTATTAGAGAAAAAAAGTTCATACATAGATTTAATCGTGAAGAATGTTTTTTTAGTTTATAAACATGACCACAAGTAATAAATTGGCTATCTATTTCAAATAGACTTCTATCACCATTGTTTTTTTTTTGCACCATTTGTAGACGTTAATTAGATCTGCATAAAGTAGCCTGTATTTTACAGTTGTCATATTTAATGCCAACAATCTTTGCTCATAGCGTAGATCATATAATCCTTTAATTCGTTTCGAAGCTCTTCTTAGCACATTTTCTATTTGCCGTTTGTTTTTGAGAAGTCCAGGGTTACATATTGATCTACAGTATTCTAGGTGTTGTTGACTTGAATAGTTGTGTGTTTAAAAAAAAAAAAAATTGAATCTATGTGAACATTTAAATCATGTTTGCAATTTGTGGGTTTAATGTTTACTCTTATATTTTGTTCTGTATCATGCATATTATAAGCATGGGATTTGTTGTTGTGTCCTAAGTGTATTACAGAACATTTATCAATTTTATTCCCCATTTTTGAGACTAGGTAGCAAGAGCGTCAATGTAATTTTGTAATTCTTAAAGTCAATAGCTAACATTTATTATTCAGAGTAAATATTGATGAATTAAATAATTAAGTTTTTATATTATTAAATATATATATATATATATATATATATATATATATATATATATATATATATATATATATATGTATATATATATATATGATTATATACTCTAATACATATCTATTGTTATTTTAAGTAAAGTTAAAGTAAAAATTGTGCATCCACTTTTGTTTATCTTATTTGCAAAAAAAAGGAGTTATGAAAAATATGGAACATTTAGAGACTATTTCATAAAAAAATATTAGACTTGAAGCGGTCGTAATTTCAAAAAATATGGGACTGTTAAAAAGTTAATTCAATGACCCTTTTTGCAAAAGTTTGTTGAAATTGAAAAAACTTGTTCAACGATTGTGGATGTCCGTTTAATTGTAAGGAGAGCTTCATAGGATCTCTCAGTGATCTTAATAAGTTCATCACATTGCTATTTCATCCTTCACTTGTTCGTTTCTTGAGATTTTCATATAACTCCTTCCCCATGTTGTTATTTAAATTTGAAAGTTTTTCTAGCATAAAGCTAAAAACAGTATCAGTTGTCAAAAACGTTGAACTTTCACAACTCAGTGTCTCAATAGCATTTTTGATTAGCTCAAAATTTTTTTCAATTAAACTCACATGAACTAGTTTGGTCGTTTTTCTTATACAAAGTGTCAGTTACTCCCAAGTGAATGCCATGATTAATGCAATTCAAGTCGATAATCTTGACAATTTTGTATATTTCTTGTTGATTGCTGCACCGTCTTGTGTTGATCCTACCAAATCTTTTTCAAATTCAATTGAAAAACTCTTCAAGTGATTTGATATTTTTTCAGCCATTGCTTCAGCATTGCACGAACCAAAGATGGGAACTAATGCCAATTTGTATGTTTTATTTTCTTCACTACAATGCAGATTTATTCCAAAGAAGCGGCGGCGGCGAACAGTTGTATACTTGTCAACACTTATACTGAATTTTATTCCCTACCCGATTTTTGAATCAAACTTCTGAAACCAATTGATTTTTCTTGTTATGAAAATCAGCGTTGATAAGCTTCATTTGGAAGTTGATATCCTTCTTTTTTGATTGAATTGCAAATGAACTGATTTCTGGTGATAGCTCTAATGGATATTCCGTCTGTGGCCATGTCAGAAACTATTTCATTTAAGTTCTTAGGTTGAACAAAGTCAAGGATTGTTTTAGGTTTCTTTTCTGATACAACTTGTTCAAGAGGAATTTTTTCAGTTTGAGACCATACTTTAACTTTAAGTGAGTCTTTAAGGTCGTGGTAGGTACTCCAGAACACTTAATGACAAGATGCAGCGATTGCAAACTCCTTATCCTTGTCCTATATATTGTTTTATTTTTTATATATCCTTAGTCACAGGATTTTTTCATCTTGTTATATATCCTTAGTCACAGGATTTTTCCGCTTTGTTACAAACTCCCAAACAGATGACATCTCTATAAACTTAAGGTGTACATTATATATACATATATAATAAATATTCTTCATAATAAGAATAATATCTACTTTCTAGCGAAATATTGAAATAGTTAATCACAAATTCAATTAGTCAAGCCGATAATATCAACAACTCAACCTCACTGTTATGCCTTGTATTCTTATTTATAAGAAAGAGAATCAGTATTATGTTTTGTTTAACATTTATTTTTATATTACATTCAACTATTACAAGTAATTTTATTATGTTAAAACTATGTGTAGTTTCTCATATCGTTACTCCATCTCTGTTGAATTTAGCGCCACGGTTTTTATTTCATTCGTGCGTGAATTCCTCTTGCGGGATTGCGAAACTATTCCCTCTTATGGGAATAGTTTTGCAATTATTATAGAGTTTTTCATATAATTCTTATAAAGGGAACTGCTTGTGTTGCAGTCTTTAATGACTATTCAAAACGAGTATTAGAAATGATTGTCCATAGGGAATTGGTTCCGAAACAATTGTTACACTCGCTTCACAAAACAAATATTTTTAAGTTTAATTCATACTTTGTTACATATTAAAAATCCAGAAGTTGTTTAAAAATCAACTGTTCTTTTAAATTTTTAAATTTTTTTTTTTAATTTTCTGTTAGAAAAAAATATTAAAATAAAAATCAAAAACAGGAAAACAGGTAGCAAAAAAACAGCTGTTTCCCGTTTTCCGAATTGGGCTAAAAAACAGCTGTTTCACGGCTTCTGTTAACAGCTGTTAGAAGCCCTATTGTCTCATGAAATCTATAAATTTTCAGATGTTAAAAAATAAAAATAATTGTCTTATATAATATTTATATATTGTCTCCATAGAGATGCTTCAATGATGGTCATGAGGCGTCGTATTATGGGACTTTCCGCTGAGGAGATAAAGAATATAGCTAAAGAAGAACTGGATCTTCCTGTAACTCAAGCGGACTTTCTGGAAGCCCTTCAAAAATGTTCTAAATCTGTGTCTGAAGCTGATATAAAGAAATATGTTGATTGGATGGATGAGTTTGGCTCAGTATAAAATATTCTGAGAGATTTTCAATATATAGCTCGTAGTTTCATACTAAAATGAATGTATATATAGAATTTTTATAAGAGTTTCATTATCTCCATTATTTGTTGTTTTATTTTTTATTGAACTTTGTTGCTTGGGCAAATTGACAGCGGGCAACACATTTAGTGTCCTTTAGTCATTAAATGATATTATTTCTTAGAAGAGAATGTTTTCTCTTTTTAAATAGTTTAATATCTTAAGTATTTTAATAAATGCGTATTTATAAATTTTTGTTTAGTTAAAATATATGAGAGTTTCAAAAATAATAATAAATCTAGTATTTTATATTTTCATAACGTTGTAATATATCTTGTACAAAATGTCGGCTAACAAAATTTTATTTAAATTTATACTTATTGATCGTTTTTATTTACATAATGTGCACTATGTAGTTATCACTTGATAGTAAAATTACATACTTTTGTTTATGTAGTTATTACGTGAAAGTATATCTCTTGTTTACGTTATTTTTAATAATGTTATTTAATTATGTTATATTTTATAGTTAACCATTGGTTAACTATAAAATATAAAAGCTATTTGATTATTAAATAACCATATTTAATCGAAGCAACCTCTGCTTTTTTGAAATAAAAAATTTAATGGTAAACTTGATGCTAAGCTTTTTTGGACGAAAAACATCTACAGATCACTAATGCATATAATAAAGTTCTATGTAGACCAATTTTAGTTTTCTAGTAGAATTGCTTAAAATTGCCAAAAATTAAATTTCAAGGTAAAAAAAAAAACATCCAATGCAGACAGACCATTATAATAAAAATTATTTTTTGAGGAGAGCATATTAAACAATCGAAATTTCAATTAAAAGTCCATGCTTACATTAAGCACATACCTGAATTTATTGAGAGTTATGCTAAAAAGCGTGGCAGTACCCAGCGAACGCCTCCTTAAACTCTACGAAAGAAATTTATCAAAATTTTTATCGAAAGGTCATGTGTTTTTATGTCTACGTAAAATCCAAAATATCCTTATCAAAATTTTTTGAAAAACGTTTTTTTTACCTTATTAGTAGTTTCATGTTTATTTAGTTTAAAATATTTAAAATGAAATAATTGTGAAGGGTTAAATGGACTAAGGTGTTAATAAGCAAATAGTTCTAATCGAGTAATGCGCCGAAAACACATTTACAAATCTTGCGAATATAGTAACAAAATAGACCCAGACATGATGTTCTATACATAGTTATAACTGCTGAGAGATTTTTTGTTAATAAAAATTCTTTGGTTATATCCAAAACATCTATTTGTGTTCATTATTTTGATAAATAAATTGTTAAATATAACAAAGATGCTACTTTTAATTAAATCTCCCTGTACCAATTATTCAAAATGATACTATAAATGTTAGTAATATAAATATAAATGATATAAGTATAAACGGTAATAATAATAGAATTGAAAATATAAATGGTAATAATAATTTGTAAATGTATTTTCGCGTCACGGTAAGGAAGGAGGCGTGAACTTCCTGCTTAAATGCACTTTCGCGGTGCTCTGTGACAAGACCGTTAGGTCTTCTTTGGGCACCTAACTAACAACACAAACAAAAATTAATAATAGTATATATATGCAAATGACAATAATAGTATAAATATAAATGATAATAGTAATATAAACAGTCATTACCTTAAGCAAAATATATTTTTTCTCTTTACTACCAAGTAGATAAAATTACAACAAACTATACTAAAAAAGTTACTATATAAATTAAGACCAGTAAAACAGCTCTCAAAATTGTTAGCTTTAAATCCTAACAACTAGACGTCATGTTTTCCGCAGTTCAGTGTTATTGGAATATTCTCATCCTTTAAATTTAACAATGTCAAAGTTACCAAAAAACTTTTATATTTTTGAAGAAGGACGCGTTTCATGATTTTCAAAATGTATTTAATACAGTAATTAATCTTGGTTCTTTGACAGAAAAACATTCTTCATCGGAATTTACATTTAGGAAACTTCATGGTAGTGTTGCTTACTATAAACTTTGTTTTAATTTAACATCAGGCATATCAACTGAGTTTTTATCAATATTTGTTAATAAAGATCTTGTATTGTTTTATTGAATATTTTTTCATTATCAAGTTTCTAATAGAAAAACATACTAGAGATGCAAAACAATTTGTTTATCACCAAGTTTTTAACAGAGTACTAAAAACACACTGAAAATGCAAAACAGTTTATCGGTTATAAATATATAAAAAACATACTTATTTTATAAATTTTAATAAAAAATTACAAATAAAGGAAATAAGTAAGTTTCATTTGTTAAGAGAAAAAGATAAAGTTAGTTCTAGCTGATTATATTGCACAGGATTTTTTTCATGTCTTTAGAAAAAGATAACTTTTTAATTAGGCGCGGCAAAAAAAAACAAGGAAAGTTATTTTTTAAGTCACTCATTTTGGAAAAAACAAACACAATTTTAACCTTGGCTAAAATTGACAATATAAAGATACTTTTGATGCACGCAATTTGTATGATGGTTTCGTAAATTATCCTTCATTTAAAAAAAAAATTCAATTTATCAACAATTAAACGTCATTAAACGACTAAAGTGACAAATAGCAGTGGATTACGCGCAGTCGTCGCGACGGTTATAAGAATTGCGCATAATCCATGACTGGCCGTAGTAAAAGATTTTATGAAAAAGAAGAGAATATTCGCTACTTTTTTTTTTTTTGCAAATATAATTAATTTGGTGATTTTTAATTATAGTAATATGAAATTTGATCATTTTATTCAAAACTTTGGCATTTTTAGATTTCCATAGTATACATTATATCAAAACTTTTTTTGTAACACGTTTTTTTGCAGAGAATTTTAAAAAAATCGTATTTTTATCTTAGAAACTATCTTCAAAAATTGGCGATATTTAGTATTTTGAAAAAAAATGGAAGCTACAATAAAAAATATTGAGATTAATGACAAAATTAAGGATTAATGACAAAACTCGAAGAACAAAAAAATATATATTCTTAAAGAATATTAAAGAAACTATTAACTTCCAAGAGGTAGCTAGCGATATTAAAGAAACTATTAACTTCCAAGAGATATCAAAGAAACTTCCAAGAGGAAAATCTTACAAGAAAACTACAGAAATAAGCCGAAAGTTTAATGATTAAATTAATATATTAAAAGTAAACTATAGATTTGAAAAAAAGATCATGCCGAGACAATCAAAGAATTGACGGAGTAGCTAAAACACGCACGGCGTAAAAAATCTTTCAACGCGAATTTATAAATGTTTGCGCGACTGTTTTAAAATTCGTTTAGTTTTAAGTATCATTTAGACTGGAATTTTTCTACGTTTAATCCAGTCTATAGTTAAGTTAAATAACTTAGATTTATGGAATATTTGTTCAAAAAGTGAATATTTTAATGTGTCAATATGTTAAACATAAATTACATTCTTTGTTTGTGGAAGAACATATTTTATTTACGCATTAATCGTATTATTTAAGGCTTTATAATTATAAAGCCTTAATAATACGGAAGAGGTAACATAATGGTTTATCGAGCACCTTTTTTCAGGCATATTTATATAAATATGCCTGAAAAAAGGTGCTCGATAAACCATTATGTTACCTCTTCCATACATATTGTTTTATATCTAAAAAAGATACTTGCATTACAATCTTTCTTTTTAGCTAGAGATTTTAAAAGTTAATTTTTTTTGCTAAAATTGACATTTTCAACTTTCAAAAAGCCTTAAAACCTAAAATAATTAATCATTTTCAAAATCTCTAACTAAATATTATCCCAACACACCAAAGATTATTTGTGAAAATTTTTTATTAATACAGTGGAAGTGAAATATCAGTTTATCTTAAATGTTTTCATGTGATTTTCCAGAAAAATTATTGGCAGCCATTTTTTTTTTTTTTTTTCGTATTTTGATAACATTTTGAAATTTTAAATGATATTACAAAATAATATTACAAAATTTTTGAAATAATATTTTTTTTTTCATGTTTTTATAAGTAACAAAGTTTATAATTAGGCAGTTAAAAAACTTTATTTTTATAATTTAAGATTTTTAAGATTTAAGTAAAAAAATATTTTGTTTACTAATCTCTTAACTTCCAATGACATTGCAAGTTGGCACATTGCCAATGTGCAACCAGGAAATGGAATCAGATCATTCAAAGAAGTAATTTTATTTTTTTAATTTTGTTTTATATTAAGTTGTATATATAGTATTAAGGTACTTTAACACAAGTATATATTTTTATCTCATTCAGGCTTTGTGGGAAAAAAAGAAACTGCTCAAAAATTTCTGGTCATTCATCAAAATGTAATAGTAAACGTTCCTTTAATGAGTCATTCTTATTTAACAAGACTAAACTAATAAGTAATTTTAATCGTGAAAAGGAAGGAATATCTATATTGCAAGAATTATTGAAAACTAAAGGTTAAAAGTTTATTTCAATACTATTTATTTATTACTCACTAAATTTATTTTCACTTTTAAACTCTATATATAAATAATTAGGGATAGTAAAAGGATTTTTACTATTAGCTTAATATAATTGATATAAGAAAAAAAAAAATTTAATTAAAAAAAATTCCTTACAATAGTAGTAGAATTAACAAAAATAAAAATAATAATAAACGATCGACAAAATAGTATTAAATAATAATTTAAAGTTGTAACTACAGTACTAGTAGTAATAATACTTAAATAGTTTTTATAAAATAGAGACCATAAAAGTTATATTAATAGTAAAAATTATTATTTTTGTATAAATATGTATTATTATATAAGTAACAATAAAAGAGGGGTATGTTTTTTTCAGAGACAGAGCATTTGTTATTGTTAGAAAAAATTCAACAAAAAGAAATAGAATATCAAAGCAGTTGCGAAAAATCAACTTTACAGAGTCAAAAAAACAATAAGTTACATAATGCTTATACAAAATTGCAACTGTTATTAAATGAAACGGGTGAGTTTTGATTTTGAAAGTTTTAAATATTTTATAGTTAATAATTTCTTATTCACAAATTGCTACTTTGAATGAAACAAGCAGCATTTGTATTATAGTTTAAAAGTTATTGTTTCTTTTAACCCTTTAAAGCTCATATTATACTTAGCACATTTTCAAACTATGACCTGAATGATCTATGTAATACGCCGTTTGAAAATGTGGGACACCAGTGTCCCATAGTTGTTAAAGGGTTAAATAACACTATGTATCTAAATATTATTTCATTTTTTCGAAACAACTTTTCCTGTCTTAAATTTTTTTTCTAATATCATTTTTTTTCTAACATTGATCATATCAATCTAACAATCTATGCTTTCACTATTCCTCATTATTTATTGAAGATAAAAGTGAAAATAAATTTAGTGAGTAATTTTATGGGAGTTTATTTATTTTAACTTAATTTAACAATTTACAAAACCAAGGGATTTTTAAAAGTAAACTTGATCTCCACTTGCTTAGCATGTGTTCTACTTGCTTAGTGTAAGTTAATGTTTTACTTATATTGATTATTTATTTATAGAGTCAGAATATTTGATATTGGTAGACAAAGTTAAACAGAAAAAAATAGAACTACATAATCTTTGCGAAAATACTTTTATACAGAGTCAAAAAAATGATGGACTACTTTTAAGTTATAAGCAAGTTTCTATTCTATTTGAAAAGAAAGGTTATGCACAAACAAGAAAAGAAAATGTGCCAACTGATGCCTCAATGATATACAGTAATGTGAGATCTGCAAAATACAGACGGCGCCATGATTCATATAATGTTATGAAGTATATCCATGGTGGCCACCGAGGCCTGATTTATGGGTGTTGGGATTTATTAGTTACTTCTGCCACTTCAAAAGGTATGGAAGAATTTTTATTATCCTACAAACGTGGTCAATTTCTTCAAAAACTTTATTGCAGAATAAATGCTAAAGGAGCACAGACAGAGCATGCATTGAAAGAAGCTGTTGCCAAAAAGTACACAGCCCATCTTTCTAGTCGTAAGTACTCACTTTACACACAGCTTTCAAAATCATACTACTAAAAATGGTATTAACATTGACTACGGTGAATATAATATTGATATTAAAACGAAGGCTATATCAAACAAAGCTGTTACTCAGTTTGTAAATTCTTTAAACATTGGTGATGTAAGTGTAATTGCCAGATGTTGTGGTGCCTCTCGAACTATAACAATAAATCTGAAATCATTGTTTAATTACAATGATTTCAGATTTATTGTTATAAATCTGAGATGGTTTAATGACAATAAAAATCACTATGTTGTTGAATTCTCTGATGATGGAGCTCCTGAATCAAAAGAAAAAACTATGTCTATTGGAACACTGTCTTTTTTAAACTTTGGTGAAAGAATTCGAAGCCGCCAATTTCACTATCTTCTGCATGAAGTAACAGCTGGGGAAAAGGATGATGTATGTAAGATGCTTTGGAGACAACACACTGATGAAATGTTGCTTATTGAAGGAAACACATTTAATATCATCAATGAAAAATCAACATTTGAATTTATACCATCAGCTGATACTGCATGGGTAGTATTTGCTAGTAATTGTTTATCATGCAGTGCAACTTACCCATCACCATTTGCAAATGTGCATAAAGCTCAACTTAATAAACGTGGTGCAACAATTAGTCGTGGTAGTGATACAACATTTTCAGTGCCCACTACAAAATCACGGAAACTTGAAATAAAAAAGTTAGAGCATTTAAAAAAAACGTTTTCTTCCACTTCAAAAGAAAAGTTACAGCACAAAATGATATTAGAATTTATGGCTAGCAATGGGATAAGGCAGCTAGGAGATCCTGTGATTGGTGAGTTTGCTGATCGATTTTAGCCAGAACCTCTACATTTAGAAATCAACAGTTGGCAACATTTGCTAGGTAATATTTTAATCTTCATTTTTAGCATAGTCACAAGAATTAACAGTCTAAAAAAAAAAGCGGTTTCTATTTTTATACCGTTTTATGTTGAAACTCATAACAATGATCCTCTGAAGGTGCACAAAAAAGTAAATTAAACTTTATTTAACATTACTCTCCTTAAAAGTTTGAACTGGAGATTCGTTTTGAGATTTAATGTGAATAGTTTTTAAAAAATTTTGATATGAATTATTTTTTTATTCTGTTAGAAAAGATTAACTTTAAAAATCTATTTTACATAGCTGAAGTAGAATTTTATAATGATATATAAAAACATATATTTAATATATATATATATGTATCAGGGATGCGAAGTCCCATCGATTTTTTGGGACTCCGGGACTCCGGACTCCGAGCTCAAAAATCATGGACTCCACGGACTCCGACTCCGGACTCCGGACTCCGTAATAATTTTTTTTTTCTTCATTTAAATATGGGGTTTTTATTATTTGGAACTTTTACGCGAAAGTTCCGGAAAAATGAAAGGGTACCAATAATATTTTCTCTTATGAATTATATATATATTTATTTTATGTACCCTAAGAAGTCCTTACGGTCTTATAACAGCGCACCTTAGAAAAGCAATTAAAAGGAAATTCACTCCTACTTCCTAACCGATGTCGCAAAACCAAAGGTGGGTTTGAACCACGGATCCCTTATTTTTTTTAGGAAAGTGCGCTACCACTGAGCCACGGCTGCTTAAACCCAAAAGTTAATTTGTCCCGCTTTTGCTGGATCGTAAGAATTTATAAGAACAATACAACTCCAAAGATTTTTATTTGATTTGTATTGTCGCACTCAATTTCTCAGATTATTTGAAACGACATGATCATAAAATTATAAAAAGATTTAAATGCTTATTTGCATTAATTACACGCTAAATTAAAAAGTTATAAGGACAAAATATTATAATATTTACATCATCAAAAAACGTTTAAATAAAAAACTCGTTTGTTCGTAAAAAAAGCATATCATCAATTAAATCAGACGTAAATCGACTACGATGGTCTGGTGTCATGTGCTTTAAGACTGAAAACAGACGCTCGACACTGACTTGGGATATGGGTAGCGACAAAGCAACACGGCAGGCGTCCCGTACAACTTCAGGGAACTGCTCAATTGATTTTAATGGGTTAAGTTTTAAAAACTCGTCTAAGTTGGATGATTTTTCTTTAAACATTCAACGGATTTCCGGAATTGTTTTTAGAGCTAGTCGAAACTCCTTTTCGATTACATCTAGTTGAACCTGCATTTGTTCTTCTGAAGAATTTTCTTGAACCTCCTGTTCACACAACTTAAATAAATTTGGTCGACGCTTTGCAACTGGTGAAGCATTCTCCTCATTTTCTGAACTAGAGTCTGACACATAAACTGCAAAAGAGTTGCGCTCTACTGCTTTTTTGGTTTTATTGAGTTCATTATTCTTATTTTCATTAGCGAGTTGAATAAGTTTGTAATGTATTTTCCAAAGTCCATCAGCTGCAGTTATCTATAGAAGTATTTATACTTTTTGGAATATGTATTTTTTAAAGTTAAATAAATAAATATATATAAATAAAATTTTATTAAAAAAACAACCTTGTCTTCAGTCGCTGTTAGCATACAGCCATGCCTAATATCAACGTAAACTGCTGCAAGAAACAACGGATTTTCGCGTAGCGCGCTTTCTCTATTATCCATTCCTTTTTGGAAATCTTTGGCTAAGTCACTGTCCTTCCCGTCAAGTTCACACTTAATTGAATTCCAATCAAAAAGAAATTCGCCTGCGGTGATATTTTCACGTTGAAGACGAATAGTAAGATCGCGTGCCATATGCAATACATCTCTCAATTCCTCCCACATACCCCAAAAACATGGTCGCACATTAAATTCTTTAGGAGCTTCTTTTTGCATATTTAGATTTTGAATTACTGGTCGAATCTAGAAGAACAGAAGAATTCATTAAATATATGTACAAAGTTATTAACTACTTAAATAAAGAGGATTATTAAAGAAATATTTACATAAACTAACATTTAAAAATTATTAAGTAGTATAAATGTCATTACCATTGAAATAATTGGATTTATATTATACCGGTGAGAAAACTGGCTTATACACTTTGATTAAAGCTTAGAAGTTATAAGTTATAACTTACCTTAATTAGCCTCTCAATCATATTGAACTGGCTAGACCAACGGGTAGCCTGATCTAAAATTGGAATGAGATGTGGAGTCTGGTCTCTGAAGAAGTCAATCCACTTCGAATTTCTTGCAGCTTTGACAACATCTCTGGCATGGTTAATTAGATTTTTTATTGTGGGCCTTTTCAATGCATCATTTACGGCTAGCTGTAAAGTGTGGACAGCACATCTTTGAAGATGTATAACACTCATGCTACTGGCAACTCCACTTGCCAAGACTGCTTCCGCATTGTCTGCTTTAGAATAACCATCTTCGTCAAATTCATCAGTTTCTACTGAAAAATCGTCTTCGTCATCTCCAATATCTTCAACGGCGCTGATGCCAAAGTCGCGCACCAACTTTATATTCACCTAAGGATATTAAATATGATTTCAATAGTTAAAGTTTAGTGAACCTTACAGTATACAAAAGATTTTATCAAAATAGTTTAATTTTTAAATGATTTTATGGAAAATAATAACTTTAATCACATAATTTAAAATTTTTTTTATTAACAAAAAATATAGTGAATTTCAAAATATGTTACTCACTGCTGCGTTGTCAACACTGAGGCCTAAAATATTAATTTTATTGATTCCAAACTTATCTAAACACTTCTCAATAATTTTTTTTGTGTATTCCGCCGTTTGTTTTCCCTTTGTATCAATCGTGCCAAGATTGATCACAGCAATTTCATCATTGTTCGAGTATTGGGCATTTATACCGAGGTAGTGACGCATATGCCTTGATGTAGAATCGACTTTCAAATAAATTAGCATTTTCGTTAATTTGTTTTTGATTTGTTCGCGATGCTTTTTGGCAAGATCGATAATTTGAATTCTCATATTATCTCTATTCATTTTAAATCCAAAATGAGATGAAACTTTTCCGCAAAGCTTTTGAATAGGTTCCCGATCAAACGCCTATAGATATTGTTTTTAGAATGATAAATGTTAATTTAAAAATGCCAAAAAAACATATAACTGTCTAGATTTTTTTTTTTTAATTAAAAAATAATTACTAACGAAAAAATAAATTGAACCTGGAATGAAAGACCTTCAACCAAAACCAGCTGGTTTAAGGCTTCTAAAAACTCATCTTTTGTAATATGCAAACTAATTTGCTGTGGTACAAAACACTTTAATATGGATTGCTGTGAAGTGCTGCCTTTGATGGCTGTATATTTTTGCTTCTTATTCTTTTCTTCTATTTTTTTTTCTAATTTTTTTTTTTCTAACGTAATGAGGAGCTCCGCATGTTTTCTAGATAAGTGTCGTATAAGGTTGCTAATGCGAGCTTTTGCGGCACATGTAATTTCTTTACCACATAACTCGTTACTTTTACTTTTTTCGGGTACAAGACATTTGAAGCATACTACTTTGCATCCATTCAAAATTTTATTTGTGCGATGAAAGTGTCTGTAGATCGTATCTGATGCATAGTTAGTGGCCATTACTGGTCAAGATTGATACACGCGAGTTAATAGCAAATATTATTTTAAAGAAAGAATGTTGTTATTGCAAGTTATTGTGAACATGTAATGTATTTTCTTTGTGTTATATATGCTTCGCAAAATTAATTTTTTGTAAAACAACCCACGAAAACATAGTTAGGAAAGCTGTTACAATGGCTAGTTATGAATCGATGACGTTAGTAGTTTTTCTGTAAAAGAAATTGCTGTGCAAAATAATTTTTATTTATTTGTTGAGGTATTTTTATAAGCTTTTTTTGGCTTCTTTCTGACCTTGATGGTACGTTTTTTGCCAACTGTCTAGATCGTTAGCTTGATTTTATAGCGCAAACTCACAGACAAATTTGTTTTTTTATTGCGTATAATTAATTTGCTAGTGAAATTTGATTGCTTTTCGTATCTAAACCATATTGCTTTCATTACAATTTTTCATTAGGCGTTATTAAAATAAAATTTTTTATTTTATTAGCAGAGTAGACTTTTTATTTTCTTAGACAGAGTCATGCCATTTTGGGTTGAAATTAAAAGAAATAAAAAGATATATATTTTTTTCTAATAGTATTTACAAGCTTCATTTATTTATAAGTATAGTTTCCTACTATAGTTTACAGTTTTAAACAGTGCTTAAACAAAGCAAAAAATATATCGACAATTTTTTTTTAAAGAACTTGACTTTGGTAAAATATTTGTCTACTGCTCATAACCTAGTTAATCTATTCTAATCGACTTTCTTTCTATGATCAATCTAAAAAATTAAAGATAACGAAAAAACTTATGCATAAAAGCAACTTCAACACTAAAATATCATTTATCTCTAAATTTGATAAATATTAAAAAATAATAAAACAACTAAGCGTTCAAACATATCTTTATCTGCAGGTCTAGCCAGTGGCGATTTTGTGAATAAAATGAGGAGGATGAATCCTTCAAAAGTGACTAATGTCTTATAAAAAATATTTAAGTGTCGAATGTTAACTTCCTCTCTTTTTAGGAAAATTGTCCCTGGGTCTCGAAATTTGATGATGAGGAAATACTTAAATAAACAGTTAATTATAAGTACTTTCTTAACGGGATAAAAAAATTAATTGTTTTAAAACTATAAATAAATAAACAAAAATTGTTACATATAAAATGAAAATAATTTGCGAATAAAAGTTTATTAACTTAATATAAAACTTAACATTAAATATCATGAAATTTTTAAAGTTAAAACACTTTATTTTTTTTAATTAAATTTAACAGAAAAAAAATTTTTAAACAGTTTCTTTAACAAAAAAAACTATTAGATCGCAATTGCGGTTAAATACTTTTATTTACAACATTATATTTTCTGAATAAACGTCACATCAACGATATCAAAATAAAAATTAAATATTCTAAAAGAAGAAAGTTTTCTCTTAACGTTAAACTGCTGAACGCATAAGCATATGGCCTTTTCGCACGTAAAATGCGAGCTTGGTAACGCCTCTTAACAAGGCGTAACATTCTAACCGATACTCAATCTGAGTATTGGTTCGAATTAGTAAGGAAGGAGATGAGCTTTCCGGTCAAATGCTCTTTTACAGTGTTTTGTGACAAGACTATCAGGTATTTCTTATGCATATTAATAACTATAAAAAAAAAAAAAAGAGTCCTGGAGTCCTAAAATTTTTATGGACTCCCGAGACTCCGGACTCCGGGCTAAAATAGGGACTCCATGGACTCCGACTCCGGACTCCGACTCCGGACTTCGCATCCCTGATATGTATATATATATATATATATATATATATATATATATATATATATATATATATATTATATATATATATATATATATATATATATATATATATATATATATATATATATATATATATATTAGTTATCTCCACTTTTTTTCAGATGTCTGTAAAATAATTTATTATATGTACATTTTGTTTGTTGTGTCAATTGATCAAAAACAAATACAATGTGAATTGTTATTTGTTCTTTGACACAAAAATTTGATAGAAATATTTTGGTCTTTAACTTTCTGCAAAAGAAATTATTTTTTGTATGCTTGGAGTTTACTACTCATCAAAAGTAAGAAGCAATTTGTATTATCAGTGAGTAAATTTTTCAAGTTACCTTTACTTTTTATGTTGTGTAGTCAACTTAAATACATTGTATTAATACAATAGCACATAAATTGTATTAATACAACGTATTCAAGTTTGATTATTTTGAATAATTATTTAACTATTATTGGTATTATCTGTTAATTTTTTTTCACTAGCTTCAAAATTCTGAAATTACTTTACTGTGATAATATCATGATGTTTTATACTTTCATTATGAGATATTTTTGTTTGTTTGATTTACAGTGTACCTTTAGAAGATTGAAATTGAGTAGTTTCTTGAACAAAAACATAAACAAAGCGCTATATTTTGCTTCCAAACTATATATTTCTTGTAACTATGTTTTAAGTTATTTTTAGTCTTATATTTTACGTTGCCTTAAAATTTAAATTTTAAAATCTAGATTGTATACAAAGAAGCAGTACGTCGGAATAAGTTTAATGAATTTATTTCTGCTTTGAAAAACCCAGTTAACAACAAGGATGGAGAAGTGGGGTGTGGCCTTAAATTTATTGCTAAAGACATAGAAGAACATTATAGTGTAGTAAATAGTCGGTTCAAAAGTTAAAAACTTGTTTAATTGGTGCTCAGGCTATATCACTTGCACAGTATAGCAATCGAATTGTAGATATTTTAGCTATGGAAAATGAAACTGGTCCATTAATAGTTTAAGACGTTTAAGACGTTTAGCACTCTCAAAACTTTTTATTAAGACGTTTAGCACTCTCAAAACTTTGTGAAATGTTGCGAGATATTGGTGTGTTAATAAATACAGTTGATGTGAGCATGCGCAGTTTTCTTTCAGACAAATAAAAACTTTTGTTACGCATGCTCACGTGATTATTTTTTCCTTTCCTATCCAGTTCCTGTAAAAAAACGGATGAGTGGGAACTTGCCTTTACGTAAAAGACAAAATTTACTTACGTAATGTTAATATAATTATTAAAGACATCATTATATTAATAGTTATTCATAAAGTCTTTAAATGAGTTTAATGTTGTTTTTAACAACACATTAAAAGGTTCTCAGAAAACCTCATTTGTACGCAACTATACAATAATAATAAGGCACAAATATTAATAATAAATTGTATTTCTATATGTATATATATATGCACATGTATATATATATATATATATATATATATATATATATATATATATATATATATATATATATATATATATATATATATATATATATAAATATATGTATATATATACATATATATATATATATATATATATATATATATATATTTATATATATATACATATATATATATATATATATATATATATATATATATATATACATATATATATATATATATATATATATATATATATATATATATATATATATATACATATATATATATATATATATATATATATTTATATATATATACATATATATATATATATATATATATATGTATATGTATACATACATATATATATATAAATACACAAGTGCATATATATATATATATACATATATAAATATATGTGTATATACATATATAAATATATATATAAATACATATTAATTATATATTTTATGTATATATATATATATATATATATATATATATATATATATATATATATATATATATATATATTAGGTACGTGGACTAATTTTTTTAAATTATTTAAATACTAAAATGTTATATATAATTAGAAAGCCCTCAAATGCAGTATTTCAAAGCTAAAAAAATTACGAAAATTTGACAATTCTATCAAAAGTTATGACGTTTTTAGTAGCAAATTTTCGATATATGGATTTCTTGATAAAACTGGTCAAAAACATTTTTTTTTTTTACATAAATTGTTATAACTTTGACAATTCTTATTCAAAAATCTATAACTTGGTATCAAAAGATAGGTGTAAAAATGGTCTTTAATTTAAAATTTATTTCTAGGTAAATGGCGCATCAAGGGATCCAGAGGGGGTGCTAATTCACCACCAACACCGCACATTTTTTCTACTTAAAATAGAGGGTTTTTTTTATGAAATTGATAATATTTATGTATAACGTGTTGGTATTATTTTATTCTACATTACTAGCGAGTATTACTGGTCTATCTTAAAGTTGGGTGTTAGGTTGTGGGTAAGGTTTAACACACCCTATCAAAATTTCATTCTTTTAAATATTCTAATATTTACTAAAATGATTAAATTATAAAAAAATAAATATAATATCTCAATACTATGAAAAATAGTAACTAGTGGTGTATAAAAGTTGCCTTTTTTGGAGTGGGGCGTATGCCGCCCCCTGTCGCCCTAAACATGAAAAACAAAATTTAATGACAATTTCACAAAAAATGTTAAAATGCTTTCTTAAACAGAGATTATAAAACTAATATATAATAAATTGGTAATAATTGATAATACAACCTAAAAATATATTTTTTTAATAGAATATACTAACAAAATATCATACATACCTAATACAATCAAGTAATTGTTCAACTATGGTCCAACTAATATTTAAATCTGAATAATGCAAATCAATTTTTTAGGAACTGTAAATAAAAGCCTAAATATTTAAAGATGAAATAATTTTTACAAAAGTCAAACAAACATTTTAAATCAACTAAAATAAGAAAACTAAAAAAGTATGCAAAAGACTCATTTAATAACACTTAACATTTAAAATGGTACTGATTTTAAAACTTGCATTTAATATAGACTATAAAATTCTCATGACACTTTATTTGCATTTAAAAGTGGTAATTATCTATGGGTACCACTTTTAAAGTTGTTTTATCACATACAACATTAAAAACATGTAAAATATTTATTGCAACTTCTACACTTATTAATTCTTAAAATTCTTTTTTATAATTATTTTGGCAAAAAATTTAGATGAAAATAAAAAAATGCCAAAAATAATTTAATTTAAAAATTGTTACAATAAAGAAAACAAGTTATTTTTCTTTAAAAATATACAAACTAATATTGTATATTTTTAAAGAAAAATAAAGGAATAGTGGAACCATGTTAACTTTTTAATTGTTTATATTGAAGTTAACATAATGGCTGCCACCATTCCTTCTTTATCGACCTCTTCTGGCGCAACCACTTCCTGTATCTCCTCTGCTGTTGTCCCCAGCACGCCTTTTTGGGGGATAATAGGGCCATCTAAAAAGGGGGTCATCTTTGCCCCCAAACTTGACCCAACACAAATATGACTTGTTGCTGGTGAGTCCAGGATGCTGGGTCCTGTAAATTTTGTAGGCTTCATATGTAAGCTCTATAAAATAAATAATAATTATATTAGTAACAAATGGCATTATGTAACACTTAATACAAATCTAAATATATAAAATTATTGACAAATAAATCACTTATAGGTAAACAAATTTTTAATAAGAGTAAAAATTTAAATACTTTCTTCTTATGAGAACTCAAATGAGAACACAATATAAATGTATTAAACAGTGTATATTAATAGGAATAATAAAAATTTGATAACCATTCAGATACATTTTTAACACATAAATTTACCAGCAGAAGGTTGAGCAGGTGAAACTAAAGGTAGAAAAAGTTGTTATTTAAAGATATTTCAATTGCTGAGAAATGCGCACACATTAAAAAGTAATAGTTTTTAGACATACCAGTTGTTGCAGATGAACATGAAACTAAGGTTAAAAAGTTGTAATAAGAAAAATTGCAATTAATGAAAAATGCATACACAAGTATTAGTAAGAAGTTAAAATTTTTAAAATTTACCAATTGTAGAAGATGTACACGATCCTAAGGTTAAAAATTTGTAATAAAAAATTAGTATAGCAAATGATGAATAATGTACAAACATATTAACAAGTAATATTATTTAGACATACCACTTGATGCAGCTGACGATAAAACTAAGGTAAAAAAGTTGTAATAAAAAACAAATAATGCAATTGATGAGGATGTTCCATTGTACCAGATGAGGATGTTCCTCAGTTTAAAAAGTTTTAATAGAAAATAAATATTGCAGTTGTTGAGAAATCCATACACATATTACACAGTAATAGTTTTTAAACTTACAACTTGTTGCAGTTAGAGTTGGAACTAAGGTTAAAAGATTGTTATAAAAAATAAATATTGCATTGACATTAAATATATTCACAGAATAAAAATTATTGTTTTTCAAAGTTGATAACTATAGCAAATTATAAAAGGAGAGATGATTAAACAAAATATGAGTTAAACCTTGACAAACATGTTTAAACTGTTATTACTATGATTCCTAACAGAAGTTATAATATTCAAACTTACAAATGGTAGACCTTGTTGATTCAACTAAAGTTAACAAAAAAATTGTACAACAAAAAATAACAGTTAGTTATTGTCAAAAGTTCAAAAAATAAAAATTAAATTGTAAAGATTATATGAGTATAAACAAGAAGCTAAAATTAAGAATGGGTATATACTTATGTAAACAATAAACATATATAAATTAGTATACATCAAAAAAAAGGTATTAGATAATAATAACTATATCTTATATTTATAAAAACTTTAGAAACATTGAGGTAATGCAAAAATATTATGGGAACTATACTTCTCAAGAAATCTTTAATAATAGTGCTAAGATCTAAACAAGAAGCAAATATAAGACATGCTTGTACGATTTAAATAATATTTAAAGGATGAAGTAGTAATACTACTTCATACAATACTACTAGTATACAACAGGAAAATGATAAAAGATGATAAGTGTAATTTTTATATCATTTTTAAACTAAACACTAAAAAATATGTTTGTTAAGAATAAATCAATATAAATTTTATTTGTAGACTTCTATTGAAATTTAAAAAAATAGTAGCATGATATACAAATCATAAAATAATGTATTCTTAACAAAGTATTTGTTAATACACAAATAAGTATTTTTAATACTTGTTTGTGTATTAACAAACTTTTATACTTATATGGTGTTTTAATGAATCTTTGAAATAATACTTTTATCTATTAAAAGAATCAAAACAGTTTTAATCTAATACATTAATCTTTTTATACTTAAGATTATCTTACCAAGATAAACAAAAAGAGTAAGGTTTTTAAAATTTATGTTGTTTTAAAAATAGTTATCAATAATATAATTATGAACAAAAAAATTTGCTTACTATCTGTTAAGGAATCTATGTACTTGTGCAACTTTTTTTTTCTGAGAACTGGCCCCCCTATCCGCCCCCGTATTTATATAGTGTTCGCTGTTACCGAAAAAAAATCATAAAAACAGAAATTAGGTACCAAAAGTGCTGCACTTAGTTAAATATCTGCTCCCTTTTTTTTTTGGCTAAAATTTGGCAGGTAAAAAGAAGATACACGTAGAAAGTAGAATAAATAATAAAAAAAGCGGGCTCAACATTTCTTAGATACGAAATTAATGTGAGAACATCGACTAAATTTTCATGGAAAATTTTCAGCAAAAAAATCATAAAAAAGTTAGGCAACCATACTTAAAAATAATATAATAATCAAGCTTCCCCTTTCTTCTTTCAAAAAATATCCTATGTTTATATGTGTTTCTAAAAAGAAATACCTCAAAAAAGCGTTTGCCTAAGACTACCTAAAAAAAATGGTAAATATAGAATAACACATAGTAAACTATCTGCTCTTTTTTTTTTTGGTTGAAAATTGGCATATGCTTAGAAAATGCATGTAAAAAAATAAATCAATAATAAAAAAAAGCGGGCTCGGATTTCTTCTACTATAAATTAATATGAAAACATATACTAAACTTTTATGACCATAACAAACCGTGAAAAATTAGTAATTATACATTAAAAGCCACATAAAAATCAAGATTAACTCATTTTCTTTCAGAAAAATATCTATGTTTATATATGTTTAAAAAAAAGAAACACCACAAAAAAACGTTTGTCTGACGCTACCTAAAAAAATGTGAAAAGAACGTGGAATAAAATTTTAGTACAAAAATCGGCTCCGTAAAACGCGATTTCGGCGTACCTAAATAAATGCAATATACTATAATAATATTGTTATATATTATCATAATTATTGTTATCGTTATTAGGATTAATTAATTAACAATAGTATTATGAAATAATACTACAATTTAAAGCTATAAATATTCAATTCAAATATAAATAGAAAATAAAACTAAATAAAACACCACCTTATCACTTTTATCAATAACATCGGCAAACCAACGTCTTTCAAAAGTTGACAGTTCCAACTCGACTCTACTCCAGAACCCTTTGTTTCTTTCGACAGACATTTATAGCTTGTGTTGTTTAGCAACTGTTATATTAATGCAAGGCTTTGATATCTTAACTTGTTAAATCATTGGGAAAAAATAACCGATTTACAATAAACATTAGTAGTTTGGTCATAAACTTAGTTACAGTTGTTTCAATATGGTTTCCGTTGTAATGAAGTTTAATTTAAAACACGCTTACTTTTCTCGCAAATGTTAAAACTGGCAATCGGGAGATTTTTTTGCTAAAGTTAACGCCGTGGTGCTAACATAATAAAAACCAATAATAAAAATCTTTAAAAACCAATTAAGAATTGCATAGTAATTAAAAAAGCGAATCGAGTAGAACATGTAAAAGAAAATAAGCCGCGAACTATAATTCTCAAACTTCTACATTTTCATGAAAAAAACAAAATATTACCTTTAGCAAAAAAACGCAGTGGAATATTTATAAACGAAGATTACGCAAATGAAACATTAGAAAAACGAAAAAAGTTTTAAGAAGATATAAACAGACAACAAAAAGAGGATAAATTTGCAATTATTAAATATGATAAAGTTTTTGTATTCTCGGGTTTTTAATACTAGGGAACAAAAGGAGGGGGTTGGAATTTTAGTCCAGATATAAAAAAAGGGGGTGTCCTTATAAAAGGATTGGTAGAAATTTTTTACAGAACACGACTGATATATATTTTTTTTTTAGTTTGAGACTTTTTTTAGTTTGAGACTTTTTTTGTTGATAACAATTAAAAATTAGTAAGTAAGGTCTTAATATGCATGGGGTGGGAGGGGAAAGTTTTACGAAAATTAATAAAAGTCCCCTACCGTGTATTAAGCACCTAATATTAAAAATAAGATCTTAAACATATATAAATGTAGAAAAAAAACATCATTGTTTTGCTAATAAATTATTTTATCAGATTGCAAATAAAAATCATTTTTTATAGATATATAGATTCCTATACACAAAGTTACAACATATATTATTCGAGAAAAAAGATTGTAAAATTTGAATTACGCAAGTTTTTTTTGTCATTTATTCTTAAATGACTCAAATTACATGGCGACCGAACTTCAGCAATTTTAAGGTATATTTTTAAATTGGAAAGTACGGAAAGGACAGAGAAAAGTACAAAAAATATTTAGACGAGACAGTTTCACGTTGACTAACTGTTTTGGCGAAAGAAATTTTTTAAAGCTAATCAAAAATCTTTTAAGATCAATTGTGACACAACATGTTTTAAATAGTTTTAAAATTCTAGTAATATCGATACGATGAAACACCTTACCTTAAGTAACAATGAAATACCATTCAGACACTTAATTTTCAAGAGAAATGTAAAAAATCAAATTAAATTTTACAAGTGTTAAATTTTTTTTAAATGAAGTTAAAAATAAATATGAAGTTAATAATGAATTTAATTCATGAAAAAATATTATTAATCAAATTTTTAATAAACATTATATCTCTTTATAATAATGCTGAACTTATTACTTGTAGTATTAATAGTGCCCACTCGTGCGTGTTTGACACGGAACTCTTGGAACCCATTAATGGCAAGAAACCCAGTGAAAAATTAACGCACGTCTCACTTGGGTTCCTTGAGGAATCCTATGTGCGACATGCGTTATTCATACGTAACCCATATGAAACCCATCTGAGGAAAGCATTTTTTTTAAGGGAAGAGTCTCTTATCTCGCTTTTATATATAAAAATAAGGAGGTTTATATATAGATATGTAAATATTAATGTAATAGAAACAGGTTTTTTAAATTACGCGATTTTAAAAATTCCATTTAATTCAGTTTAGTTTATTTCGCCGTTTAAAAATGTTTACAATGTACCAAAATATAAAAAAGTATATAATTGGCTGAAGCATAAATTAGCTTTCCTAAGGCATAAACTAGCTTTATAACCAAGTCACTATAGTAACGCTTATAAATATCTGTGTCATAGAGGTAACAACGTTTATAAAATTTTAAGATGTTAAGAAATAAAAAAAGTAAAAAACAACTTAAAAGAAAAAAATAAAATAATTAAAATTTAATATTAATGAAAAAAGTTTTTGTTTTGGGTTTTAAACAGAAAGTAATTCAAAATTTAAAAAAATAAAATTTCAGTTGCAATATTATAAAATATATTGAAGTAAATATAAAGTAATTTATCCGTAAACATAAAATAATTAACAAAAAGAATTTTAAATTACAAATATTTGCGTAAAAGGTTTCTGATTAAGGATTAAATTTATTTATTGTAATGCTTGAAAAGCAAAAGTAAAAATCAGGCAGCGTAATACAAAGAAAGAAAAAAAAATTTTCTTCTAAATTCTTTTTTTAAATGTAAGAAATTTTTAAAAGTAAAAATATTATTAAAAATACATCAGAACTTTCAGAATAAAAACATAAGTCAGAAGTGATCAAGTAGAAGTCTAAAGTGATCAATGAATTACATTAACACGAATAAGCCTAGTTAGAGAAAGTTTGGAGGCTAAAGGAAGATTGAGCCTAATTTAAAACAAATTGCAATCCTAAATGTTGTTGCGTTGTTGCCAAATTTGAAAATATTTTTCAAAAAAAAAACAATCTGATGCTCTGGGTGCCTTGGACTCTAAAAGCGTACGTAGGGAAAAAATTAGCCCAGAAAGTTGAAGTACCAACCCTGATGATATGATTCATGATGTGAACATGGTTTATAAAATTATTGAAGTTGTTTGCAATGATATAAAAACAAATTTGCCTCAAATTTGCCTCAGGTGATTATGCCTGTGTTTCCTATGAGCAAAAGTGGTGGATAGGAGTCATTGAAGATATTAATTTAGAAGAAAAAGATGTGCTTGTAAAATTTATGTGTCCTAATGGTCCTGCACGGTCGTTTAAATGGCCATCAACGGTAAGCCAATGCTTGATTCCTGATTTCCACATTATTTGCAAAGTTGAGGTACCGATAACAAAAACAGGACTTTGCTACTATTTAGCCAAAGAGGACTTAAAAAAAATATTCTCCTAAGGAAGTAGAGATTTTTATATTTATGAGTCTATTATGTCTTATCCATTCTTTTTTTAAATATTATGTTTTGTGAACCAACTTGTAAATAATGTGAATGTAAAGCATATATAAAATCACTAAAGTTTAGTATTTTTAAATAAAAATTTATATACGTTTAAATTTAGTAAATATCATTTGAAAATGAAAAAGATAATAAAGTCACTAAATTTTTAGTTTCTAATTTGATTGATTGATAAAAGGTGGGGTTATATTAAGTGTCTAATTTAAAAAATATTAAAAAATTTTGTGTCTATATCAAACATCAATAATTCCTCAAGTAAATATAAGGCCAAAACAAAATTGGTTCGAAAAGTAGGTGTTGATATTATTTTTAAGAAAATCGAAATTAATTTTTTTTTATATCAGTCAGATTTTTTTTATAGCTATAATTGTCAATGCCCTTTTTTCTCGGCGTTATAAAGTGTATTTTATGGATCTTAAAATAAGCTACATTTTTCGGATTTAACAGGTTTTAAACTCTTTTGATACAAAGTTTCAGAATTGTGGCATCACTACAACCACCATATTAAGGTGAAAGTA